TACACATTTATAATATGTGATATTTGTATTGCAGCTTTAGAACAGCCATCCGTACTACACCATTAAAATAAATTGAAATTGGCAGACTTGTGTGTGCAGTGCGCTTTAACTGCATGTCAAACTCAGAATTACAAAGTCCATCTACATGAGCTGGTAAAAAATGTGTCAAAGGATAACTTGAGGAGTTGACCAAGAGCAAAGTGTGCAGCTTGACCCCTGTAGAGGAATCCCTCGATTACCTCTGGATTATTCCAAAATGGATAAACAGATGAGCAAACATTTTTTTTTTTATCAAATAGTAATATTGGCTGAAAATATCTACCTATTGATTTCTAGTCCTCATAAGCATTTTGAATGAGAAAATAAAAGCATGTATGTGCACATACCTATGTGAGATGCCTTGTTGATTCATTTGTCTGCATGAATATATTTCTGACCTATCACAATATACTGCATCTAATATTTAAGAAAAGCTCCACCTTTTAATTTATTAGAAAGATTGCATCATCTCTTAACCTGCATCTCAGCCAAATAAAAAGCCATGGACCCTGAATAATGCCTAAAGAAAAATGCTAATTTCTTTCTGAGAGAAAATCAGATGAAGACATTGTCATGGGAGCACTGCGATCTCTGTGAGAAGCAATAAATACCTGTTAGCATTATACTTACACATTGCTTAATCTGCATGGAGCTACCATGAAAAAATATATCTCATTCTAGGTCCACTGTAACTAGTGTTGTCGCTGTTACATAATACAGATGGTGGGTATCAGTATAGTTACGTCACTGGGGTCATAAAACAAAAATCAATAACTATTAAATAAATGTGGCAATGTCAATGAACACTAAACAATTAATAAATTCCTAATATTATCCCAGAAACATTGAAACATTGTAGATCTGATAAAGTCAGAGAGTACCAGCAGACCTTTCATTTGAGTTTAATATAGTCCAGTACATCCAGATTAATCAGGATTTTCAAAGTGTTTCTAGCCAACACCTAGTCTCTTGTTTTAAGATTGGGTGCCATGCAGCTATCCCCTCTGAGTGCTCCATTGCTTGGAATATGAGGACACATGGTTTGCATTTCCATGGGCTTGGATTCAGGTAATATTAGGAATTTAATAACTGCCTCATGCTAATTTTATATTGATATTGCCACATTTAGTTAATAGTTATCGATTCAGGACTATTCTCTAGTTATCGATGACACATTGGGCTTCATCATATTGGAGTCATTCAGCCTGAAACAGGACCAGTACTGTATGGCAGAGCTGAGATGGAATGAGTATTTTTTTTTTTTTTTTACTAGTCTGGGGCTTTGCAGCACTTTTTAGAGTGAAACACTCAAGTTCTGAAACTAGTTGTTTTGGTGCCTAATTAACAATAAAATCCTCCAGATTTCTGCTTGTGGCCACATGGGCCATTTCTTTTCTTGCAAGTTAAGAGGTAGGCCATGTCCCATGAGGTAGATTAAATCCCTTTTTAGAAGTTTAACTGGTGTGTACTTGACAAATTAAAATGTCAATGTACGTTTTTCATCTTCAGCCAGAATTCTTGATATACCAAGCATTAAGGGGGTTATTCACCAAAGGGTGAAGAGTTTGGAGAAGGCAGGAGAAGTGAACAATCTAGGGCAACATAGCTGAACTGGATAGTGAGCTGAATGGGATAATTTTTCAAATCAGTCATGTTGTCCTAGTTTGTTCACTTCTCCTGCCTTCTCCAAACTCTTCACACTTTTGTGAATGACCCCCTAAATCTTGGTTCTGATCTGGTTAACACTTCATACAGGCTGTGGAGGTGGCACTGCAATAAAATGGCAGCAATTCTGCCACTTCTTCTCAGAGTGTGCACCGAAGGTAGAAACCTCCAATGACATCAGGATTTCACTATCACTGATAGATGTTGACTATATGCTAAATGCTAGACTACATAAGGCAGTGATGTCACACAGAAGATGCCCTTTTGAAGCCCACTGCTCTACTGGAAGTGGTTCTTTGAAGCACTTTACCAGTTCAATGTGTGAATGGGTTTAAGCAAGGGGTAGATTAGCTTTAATTGCCTAAATTTACATTAGGAGCCAATCTAGCCCAATGGTAACCTCAATGTTTTTCCGCATGACAGGTTTTGACTTGGCGAGTTGTTGTTTAAGAACATTTTTTATATATCAACACACCATGATGCTTATGCATTTTAACTTTGCTACTGTACAATCAAAAAACTCCTACATTTAACTTTAATAATCATTCTGATTTGTACATGTTGAAGAAAATCACTAAATGAAGCAATCTATTGACGTTTCTGTCTTTTTTATTCCCAGGGGAGCTTTCTCCATTGTCCGTAGATGCGTGAAAGTTTTATCTGGGCAGGAGTATGCAGCAAAAATCATTAACACCAAGAAGCTTTCAGCTAGAGGTGAGTGCAAGCTGACAACCTTTATTTCTTCCCAGCTGCCTTTGCCTGATAAGGTCACAGCTCCATATGGAATAAATCTAGATCTTATCTGTGTAAAAGAAATTAAAAACCGCTCAGTACTATATGGAGGAGGCCAGGGGTGTCATGGTGTTGTGTAAGTTAAACAGTTAGTAAAAAAAGACAATAGCAAAGAGAGAACAATTATTAATAGTAAAATAATAAAAATATATTGTCTTATCTACTAAATAAGGTTCATTTTACCCTTGATTCCCATGGATTACCTGTATTTTACCAGGGATGGAATGTACCTGCCTGATATGAGTGGGTATCGGTATAGCAGCAATTTCACACCTTGGAGTTACTACAATAGCAGCCTTTATGATTATAGCATGAGCTGTTAGCGCTTCAGTACGCTTAGATTCATGGAGATTCATGGAGACTATGGATTCCCCTTAAATGGAAAGCAGACACCATGACTTTCTAAGCCTTAGAAAGTCATGGAGTCTGCTTTCCGTTTAAAGCGAATCCATAATCTCCATGTCATGAACTCCAGTCTTATCTTCAGTATACAGTTAGTTGGAAAACTAACCTTTTAACCTTATAACTTTTATAGACTCGTTAATAGAAAACACAGTTTTAATATGAAAGCTCATGCCATTCCTTTGTATACGAGTTCCCAGTCTGTTGAAGAAAAAAGTAATGAGTAAGCAAATCATTGGGTTTTCAGGGATGCCCTCCTTCACACATCAATTTGTATGATTGACTACAAAGTCAGTGGAGCACACTACATATATATAGTGAGTGAATACCAACTTTGCCCAGTGGAGGAACAGAAACTTTACAGAATCCCAACGCTGATTAGAAGCTGTCCCAATTTTTATGTTTATCCAGAGGTGAGGCTTATCAAACTGGGTTTGATTTGTACAAAATTAGTTAAAGCTGTGCTCCAATCAGCCCCCCCCACCCCCATCTCAAACAATACACTCTATTCCGCCAACACGTTTTTAGCAAATGACGATTTTTCTGATCCCCCAGCTCACACCACCCTCCCCCTGGGTTCTGATGCTGTGGCAGCCCATACAATCTCTACACCCAGTAGGGAAACCCTGGGAGACCTGTCCACAACTTGGCTGCTCCAATCCTGTAACCTGGAACCACCCTGAACTCCAATGCTGCTGTGGCAGGATGGCAATCTTTGGACACAAGAGAAAGCATTTCACACCAGTCAATCCCCTGCAAGTTCTTAAGCTGTTGTGGCACCTAGCAGAGAGCCCTTGCAAGACGTTCAATACACCTTTACTTCTCCAGTTGACACTACCCTAGCATCCTAAAGTATTGACATAGAGATGGGTGCCAAACTGCAACATGAGTCCAGAGTGCCTTTATTTGTTCATAATACTGTCACATAAAAACGGCCATCAAGATTTGGGGGCTACAATCCTACTCCTTCATCAGAGCTTAAAATAATGGCATGCAGACTTGAATTGACTCAAAAGGTAACTAAAACCAAATGGATCTATATTAGATGTGGTGTAAAACCTCTTTTTAAGAGTTTTAACAATGTATTCAGCATAAGCTGACCAATTTTCCTTGAGCCAAAAACGGGACATTGGGGTGGCAAAAACGGGATGGTTTTAATATTCCGTATTCATGAAAAAGTACGCTGATAACAAAAGTTAGATGTGTACAGCATAAAGTTTTGGACAAAATTAAATATTATGTTTCGGATTTGGATGCAACAAGCCATGTTCCCAGAGCACAATACATGTCCCTAGAGCACAATAAATGTCCCCAGAGCACCAAACATGTCCCCAGAGCACAATACATGTCACCAGAGCAGAATACATGTTTACAGAGCACCGTACATGTCCCTAGAGCACTATACATGTCCCCAGAGCATCATACATGTCCCCAGAGCACCATACATGTCCCTACAGCACAATACGTGTCCCCAGAGCAGAATATATGTCCTCAGACCACAATACATTTCCCCAGAGCACAATACATATCCCCAGAGCAGAATACATATCACCAGAGCAGAATACATGTCCCCAGAGTACCATACATGTTCCCAGAGTACCATACATGTTCCCAGAGCAGAATACATGTCCCCAGAGCAGAATACATGTCCCCAGAGCACAATACATGTCACCAAATGCAGGAACTCAGCAGCCGCTGCGGTTAAAGGGTCAGTAACTGGACATCCCTAGAGAATGAGAATTTTTTTTTTCACAAGCTGGAGGAAAAATGACTAAATAACGGTACTGTCCTGTTTAAAATGGGACATTAGGTCAGCCTAATTCAGCAGCATCGCATCTTGCACTGAGATCGACCATTCACCGGACTGTTGCAGGTGACACCCTAAACCCCCCCCCCACATTTACCACCACAGCTGAGCTTCATTCTGCCCTGCTCATCTCACCCTCCCTACAGCCTTCCCCCCAAACTCTCACCGGACAGGTGTACTTAACTTGACCCCTTAACCCCTATCCTCCCCAAAGCACCTTACCCCATCCTGCCCCCATGCTGATAGCCTGCCTGCATGCATAACTATGCTTCATCCCCATCCTTCCCCATTACTCTCACTACAGCCTGCCCCCCTCCCCTCTCTTTAATAAGAGTTGTCTTAAGAAGCGTGAATAGTGCCCCTGCAATGACTAATTACACCCTAGCCCCCTGCTTTCAGCACTCCCCCCATCATGCCCTTAAAAATCTATACAAGACCCTTATTCAGTTCTGTTTGTAACAATGACAAAGAGTTTCCCTTAAAATACATACCAGGCCCTTATCTAGTCCTAATTACAAGCCTACAGAAGTAGGCTGGAGAAGGATCTGCCATATAGTCGCAGTAATTTTTTTTTTAAATGTCACTTTTGCAGTACTTTTGGAGTACTTTATACTGGTGTACAACTTCAGTTGAAGGTTCAAGGCATCCCCTAAGCATGTGTAGCGCTCACCCTCGAAGGAGCCGCTGAATATGAACTAGGGTCCTCCTACCTGTTTTGCAGCCACCGGCCCCTTTCTGAGCTCCAGCAACACTGACACTTTTAGGATAGAACAGGCTCGAGTTGCTGAATCTTTTTAGTATGTATTGCTCAATAGTAACTAGGAGAGAGTGTTAGGGTTACAGGATACTCAGAGAACAAAAATGGAGGACAACGTCTTCACCAGTAGCTTTTTTTTCTCAAAAGCTTGCAAACTGGCTTTACAAAAATTTACAAAAAATACAAAATTTGGCTCCCATAGGCTTCAATGGGGTTCAAGCGCTATGTTTGGGGTTTGCTGATTTCCCATTGGGTTCGATGACTATCCAGCAAACCTAACTGTACCCATCCCTATTCAAATAATGCTGTTTATGTGCTTTTTGTTCCTGTAAGCTGAATTACAGAATGTTGTGCACATCAACATTATTCTTAAAAATTAGTGAATTATAATTTTAAAAAAAATGTTAATAGCTTGTTAAGCAATTCAATTTGCATGCAAGAAGCTAAATGGCATGTCAAAAAACCCCAAATGTTGAAAGAAAGAAAGCAGCTTATGTTGTATATTTATGACTGTAACGTCTTTTCCATGCACTAAGGTATAGAATCTAGTAGACCGACTAGGGCTTGAACTTTTAAACCCCTCCACATATAGTTCACTGAGGCTTTCTACCACCTACAAATTTTTACAATCGTCTTTAATAATAGTCATGCTGTTATAGTTCTACATGGTAGGTATATTTGAAACTGCTAATAGCGTTTAGATAGACCCCAAAACTTTAGAGAACATCACATTTTATTTTAGGCAATGGCTTAGCTGGATTGGACGGTTGGACCATTGGATGGGGAAGTAATCATACATTCCTTAAGCTGGCCATACACTGTGAAAACTTTGCCCTGTTGATGAACCAGTCAAAATTCGCACTCTGTCTACACACTGTCTCTGTCTACACACTGTCTGCCTGTCATCCTTCAATCAGAAAATTGAAGAAGCAGAATGGACAATCTTTGGTCGAACAGTGACCTCATCTGATTGGCTGATTGATACCATTTGAGTATTCTGACAGTGGCACACCCCTCACTGTCAAAATACAAAGATCATAGCGGGATATTCATCTATCCACGAAGTTTACAGTGTACGGCCAGCTCTAGATAACCACACTTGTTCTTAAATTACACATCTATATAATGTAGCCTGTACAACCAAATCCATGACCATATGATTTGCTTAGCACGCGATCGATGCGCACAAAAATCCTTTGGCAAACCAGGCTCAATGTCTTTCCTGCTACTTTGGAACAACCCATATTTTACCAACCTTTTCCTTTAACTTGCGGAGACTTTTAGTTCCACATAAGCGTAAATACCATGGGTTACTTTCTTCTAGGGGTCTACCAATTATTGTATCTACTGAAAATCGGGGCCGATATTCACAACATTTGTAATTATCTGTACTCCTTCCCTGGCTCAGCAGAGGAATCAATCTAAGACAGAACTCCTTCACAGGCTCCTCTTCACTGCCATCACTAATAAGATTTGACCAATATCAGGCCCACCAGCTGCCAGTTGCAGAATCTTGCTGCCAGCAGATGAACACATAGCCCGGGCCCAGCGCATGATTCCACAGCTGGATGTAAATAGAAAATTGCCACCTGATATCAGTTATCGGCCTGAAAGTTGGCCCATAATCCGTATCGGTTCTGAAAAAATGATATCGGTCAACCCCTTCTGCTATAAACCAAACATGTAGGTTTCAGGTGAAGTGCAGCTTTGCTAATTTCCAAGCCACCAAATATTTAACAGCAGCAGTGAACAGGAGGGGAAGGAGACAGTAAGCCAAGTAAGATCTAAGCTGTCAGTGTAGGTTTAATGATGTATCCTTACTCATGTCACAGAGAACTCAGGAATTACAGCACATTTTGACAGCTTGTATATCACCAACCTACATTTTCTGCCTATGACCAAAACACAAACAGCCTCTTGTATTATCAGAATACTACTGCACATGTTAGTTGAGAA